GGCCAAAATTCGTCGGGGAGAAAAAAAATATATGTATTTTGTACATATTGTAGAATCTAAAATCGATTAAATAAGCCTTTGAAACCCCTCAATTGTCAAAATTTTCAGCGACGAACCCTCTTTTTTGCAGTAAATGCAATTATCGACTGGGTGGAAGTGTGTCAGCAACTTTGGTCATGAAATACACCAAGTTAATGTGTTTCATTGATTGATTGACTAATCGATGAATTAATCAATCGATCGCAAATTGACTGATTGTTTTATTGATTAATCCTCTTTCATTTTTGGCTTGGTTAATTTTCTGTTGACATTATTAATTCAACCATATGCAAGCATTATTTTTATACATTTAGTCTAAATACCTCTATCACTGATCCACATGATTTCACATAGTTTTAACTCACCCGTGCATCATTAATTCCAGATATCTTGCCCTCGGGTTTGTCGAGTACGAGGAACGCTGCCAAGTTTGCCGTGTATGACGCAAGCATGATCATGGAGAAAAACGCCCAAACCATTCCAACTACGCGTGCGCTGAGACTTCGCGGTGTACCTAAATTAAACATGATAATTACGGTATCATTACTGTACCTATACATTTTTAAAGATCACACTCAACATTGAATTTAGCTCAGAAATTAGACCTACTAATAGGACTACGGTGATTTATAATAATAGTTTTGCATATAAGATATTTCTCCATCCAGATTAACTTGAGTCTCCTGAGGACGAAGAAAATAAATCTGCTTTATAAATCATTTCGTTGCGGAATGGCAGCGAAAGCTCTCCCAGAAATTAATGGAAAGAATGTGAAAATGTACAGTATACGTTTTGTAACGTTGTTTCCAATTTATTTATTTGTTATAATTGTGGACGTTTTTGTTGATGATAAATATATGACAATGCAAAGTTCTCACACTTACCCTCACCAATCCCACTGTTAAACAGCACACCCCATGAAAACCACAAGGCCCTGGAGAGGTTTAATGCGTCCTGTTCTCGTCCAAATTTGCCTGTATGCATACGACTGAATGGGCTTAGACGATCCAGGATGAAAAGGAAGAAGGCAACAACATGAATCGCAAGGAACATGAGTATCCACAGTTCAGTTTCAAATGGTCGTAGAAATGACACTAGTTTGTTTGTCGGAACATCCTGGCAAATGGAAATGCTCAATGAATATATTTAACTTTGTTACATTATACGCCGATTTATTGTAAATTGATACTTTGAAGAATTTCTTTAAAAATATTATGTATTTTTTTTTTCAAGATTTTCTTTCGATATTTTTTATAGGCCCTATGCCTCATACCATGCAACTAAGCGACTAGGCTCTAAAATGTAGAACGATCATCCTCATCCTCACCCCTTTTGGGGGTTCCCCGACGAGAACTTAAGTGGGCGTGATCGGGCTGCCCAAATTCTCTCGGAAGTAATCCACGCCCCCGGAAACTATGGGATTTCGGGGCTTCAAATTTTTTTAGAGTCTAAATAATATATAAAAAAATATATAGGCCCATATTTTTTTTCTTTTCCACACGAAGTGTGTTTTTCTCACCGACTGCACCACCCCTGCACCATCATCATAAATATCACTAGTTGAAGTTGAATACATCTAAACTATAATTACTTTTGTATTATTGCATTACAATTTTGTAACGAATAACGAATTCATTCGAAGTCCAGAAATCATGTCGAACCCACCTTCTTGACAAGGATGGTGAGACCCTGATATTTGAATGGTTTTGAGAAGTCGATGTGTTTGACTCGTTCTTTATTAATGGTTAAAGGTGCCATGATGATGTCAGCTTTACCGTCCAACAATTCTCCAATCATTCCATTCCATCGCCTCTCCGTCGAGTTGGTAACCTGAAGAAATAAAACAGTAGTAGAGTCCATGTAATAATAAGAATATAGATTTGAAAAGCGCACTTTAGCGCAAGTATGAAATTATCGTTCCGTACGACGTGCATGCACATTAATATAGCCTAGGTTATTATCCTACCTATGATGATTATTATTTTATGTCTGATGTATTCAAGTCTTATTAACTCGCGGTCTTTAAGCCATTTCAAAATATTTTATTTAACATAACATATTATAAAGTTATATATATCTTTTGCCACCAAAGCTAAATTGCTTACAAATTCTAAGCTTAAGTATACCTACAACAATATAGATTAGTTACTGTAGATGTTTCTTAAAACAAATTATAATTTAAAAATAAATTTTACCCTCACTAAATCACCATAATGTCCATCGGCTACTATGTGGAGGTCAAATGTGAAATTTAAGAAGTTGGAGAGATTGGCTAGGAGGTCAATACAAAATCCTTTGCAGCACATAATTTCGCCTGCGTTTAAAAATAACGGTTAGATAAAAAAATAAATAAAAGTGATAAGCATGATCTGTAATTCACATTTCATTATTTAGATATAAGGCAGATATTTTCTATATTTTCTAATCACTAAAACAGGAGACTTATTATCAAATAGGTTTGTATGGAAGAAATGAACAAAAATAGGTGATTTTTTTGCGACAGATGAAATTAAATTAAAGGTGATGATGGTTTAATCCGAATTCTATATCGTCAATAGAGCGCCACGCGTGCCATACGCACTAAGGTATACTGTACCGTATTATCCGAATATTTTGTTAAGGAGGGGTTTTGAGAGTTTTTATTCCATGGAGACGTTTATTTTTTTTTATTTCGGTGTAAAATGGAAAACTATATATAGGCCTACTCAAATAAACGTCTCTTAATTTTACTGTAAATGTTGAATTACAACACATAATAGGCCTAAGTGTACCTTCAAGGTGTGTTATTACGTGATTGATCCTAGCCATGTAATTCTACTGGAGTAGAACATTAAGAGAATGTGTTGAAAATGTTGCTTCCATTAGTTTGGTTTACAATCATTTAGGGGGCGTTTATTCGAGGCAAAAATAAAGGCCCGTGTCGTTTATTCGAGGGAGACTTTATTCTAAGTGAGGATCTGAAGTGGGAGTATATTCGAGGGAGGCGTTTATTCAAAGCGGGGGAGTTTATTCGAATAAACACTGTAGGTGAATACTGTAATAATGTTAAAATGTGTGTGATGCATATAGAAAGTTATGTTTTTACGTCTGTTTATTTCCTGAACATCAATGAAAAGAGTGTTGATAATATCTGTCTAGTTTCACGCACCTGTTTTGCCATCGGTACATACAAGATAGTGTTCGTCGACACAGCCATTCGTCGGATGTGGCTTATCGGTGTACACAAATGGAATACTCTTTATCGTTACGACCTTAAATGATAATTGAAAAAAAAAACCTTAAGTAATAATTTTAAAAAAATCCTATGAAATTGTACTTTGTAGGTAATGCAGTAAAGATATAATCTCTACGTTGCGGCTAATAAATTGGCTATATTTGTTTCTATCACAAAGACCAGGCTATATATGGCCTACTATAATTGGCCTAAATTTGAGTAAGTGATTCTTCGTATTTGTGATTACCAATATCAATATAACATGGTAGATTAAAATAATATATTATGCTGTGGAGTTGTTGTTGCAATCAAGTAGATGAATCAATCTCTTAGTCTCTGATGGATGAATTTATTCGGTGTAAGCAATAAGGATAACCCACGAAAGTCTGAAGAAGACTTATTTCCAGTGGGTCCTTTTAGTGGTGATTGGGCAGTACACCGGGACACAATCACCTACAGTTTTACGAAGAGTGTTTTCTTTAACGTGCTCCTTCATAATTCAAATTGCCAAAGATTAAACTGGAATCACTGGAGGATGGAAACTGCGTTTTGAGACTTTACTCAGACCCGGTTTTAACTACGGACCAGAAGCTGTGTAACTAGACGAGTTTCTGCTGAGATTTACCAGCACGAAAATGAACACCTCTTCATACTGGTTGAAATCATTTATTCTCCACTTCTCATGCTGGCCAACTTCCCTGAAATGTTTAACATTGTTAATTTTTGTTTGTAGTTTCATGCTATTCTACCTTCTTTATACAGTCGTTGAGAGTAAAAATTTATTGAAGAAATACAGTCTGCGGCAATTACAAATGCATAATGTATATCTTTCCAGTTGGCAACAGGTAAAATTCTGCCAAGGTTGTGAACAACCAAACTGTATACGTTGCAAAGAACATCTTGCCGAATCTCAAAGTGTCTCCCGACCAGAGGAACAACTGATGTGTTCTACTGCTAGACATCGATGTCTTTCACTGCGGAAGCATGACAGATTAGTATCAAACCAAAAAAAAAAAAACACATGGGATGTGTGCATAGAGTATTGGCGCAGATTGCAATACAAATCGAAGTACATCTTTATCACCTCAGTTCTAGAATATGCAGACGATTTTGTTCAGTTTTTAAACACTATTTGATAAAGTGTTAAATAAATAATAGAAAGATAAAGACCATCATCATTCTTTCAGGATGCACACACACGCACCCAGGGGACAAACATTACCATGGAGCTGGCAACAATAACGCTGTGCGCATATCTTATACGCACTTCCTGTGCGCATAGTATATACGCACTTTCTGTACGCGTATTATATACGCGCTTCCTGTGCGCAAATCCTAAACGCGCTTCCTATTTGTAGGTGGTAGAAAAAAAAATTGCAATACGAAACAACGTTAAGCAAAGAACTCATTTTAAAATCTAACTGCTTACTGTCTATATGACAGGACCGGTCATGCTGATCATAATTCATGTTGAATGAGTTACCATAGAGATACATTAGTAGGCCTATAATATGTATTTCGATTTATATCTTGCATTGCGATTACTAAATAATAGATTTATCAGTTAACTGATTTAGAATATTATATGTTTATAAGAGTAAATTAACAATGTTAACGAGGTTAACCTTATCCTTATTGAAATCGGCTCACGTGGGTTCATCTCATCCGATAACATTGGACGTTTAAAATGTCTACATAATCTGTGCAATAAACTCATACCGTTCAAAGTCTTTCGAGACAACCTCTCGAAACTTGCAATTATTTCATCCTTTCATCATTTTTTTTTATTTCATAATTATAATTTTACTACGCAATATCCATATATATCTATTTTTTATATTTTTATAATTGTATAGGCCTATAGGCCTATTTGTCTTTTCTTCTTGTCTGTCTTGTCTTCCCTTTCCTTTCCTCTTCTGTTTTTCTTCTTTTGTAATCTGTTTGGGCTCTGTCCCCTCTCTTGTCTTTTATTTTTTAATTTTATTTATTTTATTCCTTTCAGCCAGAACCACAAAAAAAAAAAGGGAAAAAAAAGAGGAGGGCAGAGGAGAGGCAAAAGCGGTACAAAAACTGCTATCACCGGATATGGTGTGCCCCTCCAGCTCCAAATTCAATATTATTACCGTAAATAATATAAATATTAATTTCATCAAAAATATATAAATATTAAAATATATAAATAATTAAAAAAATTAAGAACGTGATCCTAGGAATTTTCTTTATTTTTTCCTTTTATCAAATTTTTGTAACGTGTTTTCTTTGTGTTTTTGAATAAAAGTGATTTTAAATAATGATATGAAAAGTGGTAGAATTAAACGACGCAATAATATAACTATATTAATATTATTAAAAATGATAATAATAATTACAGTGAAAGATAATAATTATATTATGCATATTACCTGTAGATGTGTTGATAGTCTATAACCTTCCGGTTTAGTCATTTTTCTACCTGGCCATATAACCTGTGCGTTCATCATAACTTTTGACGTTTTAGTCCATTTGCCGACAATTTTCAAATCCCCATTTTGCAAATTTACTATATCATAGTCATTTGAAATCCTATCTCCACGCCCACTGAACGATATTGCCCCGGTTTCAGCTTGCATTTCCGATAATTTTGTATCTTTCAGCCACCTGAAAAATATGATTAATCAATGTTTTTTCACTGTTCAAAGTGATCACAATTCAGTGTATACGCTTAAAATTACATCGAAGATGTGATTTGAATTTAATAATTATGTTATTTAACCTAATTTTAGATACTGAAGTGATTCTAGTGTATTTTTACATGTGTGCCATCATACGTAATAATAAATACCCAAACAATGACAAGGTCTTCCTGAACGTGTAAGTAGCACTTTAAGAACACTTATTATGAATAATCATTTGAATACGACTCAGGATTTATGTGTATAGGAAACAGTTTATGGCTGTTCATTTAAAATGCGCGGAATTATCAATGATAAGACAAGCCGCAAGGTTGCTACATAAGTTAGGGCAACATTATTTTTAATACTGTACAATTTATCGATTCTAGCAACATGCAATTTGGAGTTACATTAATTACTACATATTTTTCTTTTTAATTAAAATGATAATGATTGCGAATTTAGAACGAAAAAAAGATCTAAAGTATCGTCATTCGTATTTCGTTTGCCTTTTACTCTGTTAAGACCCGATCGGAAATGGTTGATGGTACGCAGGCTTTGTAGAATTTCTAAATGCATTGCATACCGTAATACATTATTATGATATGCTATATATGCAGGCCATGTTGTATGTTGTAATTAGATAGTGTAAGGAACCGTATCTTAATATAGGCCTACCTCTGTCTGTTGAGCTAAGAAAATCTGAGAAATTAAATATTTTTCAGGGTTGGGTCCAGAAATTTTCTGACGGGGGTAAGGGAGTAGGTAGTCCACCATGGCGTGGGGGGGGGGGGGGGGGGGGGGGGGTGGCTGAGGTGAGCAAATTTTAAGAATAGACCCCTCTAGACGCTCGGAAATGACACTCTCAGATGGTGACAATGCTTTTTCAAAGCAGTGTTCCTCGACAAAATTATTGACTTCTTCCCGATGGTAGCTATGCTCCCCTTCCCGACGGTAGCTATGCTCCCCTTCCCTTAGACACCCATCCCCTCACGGGCGTCGCAAAATTCTTATCAAGGACCCATAGTGTATTCTATACTGGGAGTGGCTCTCATTCAGACTTAAAACTTGTATATTTTATCTCCATATTTTATTTTTTTTTAATTTTAACAAATGTAGGGGTCCTGGCCGGCTGGGCACCCCGCCTCCACCGGATTACTGTAATATGATATATTTGTCCTACAGTCGATGTAAGAGATACATTATGCTGTTATGTATCAACAAAGCCCTTTTGGATCAGGCCGGTGCTATAGAACGAGCACCCTATGGGTAGGGGCACCAAAAGGGTCCCTAAGCGGTCCCTAAGCGTCGGTGGCAAAACGGACCACCGCATAAGGGCGCATATGCGTTAACGTCATGGGCATGGATGGCTGTTCTAGCTGGGTTCTACATTCCGTACGGTAATATATGGCTAAAAAACCCCGTCCTGTAGGTCTCCGTCTTTTGGCTTTTTTTACTTGCTGATTTATGAAATCGCTGTAAGAAATCGGCGTCAGGGATATATATAGCGTTGTGTTCGTCGTCAATCAAAAAAAAATTCAAAATGAATGAGTGGTCCCCGTGCCCCCCCCCACCCTCCCCCACTGGATCCGCCCCTGTTTTTCATTGCCTACATTTTAGAAAATTAGAATGACGAAACAATGTCATTAACGGTAAGATTATCTTGGAATAATTTATTGATTATTGTACTTGGAAATAGGCTTAAACCTACCTGTAGTACAGGTGGCCGCTTCTCCATGGTGCATCACCACAGGTGGATGGTGGCCGTGTGACGTTATCATTCTGAACCAGTTCATGCAGGCCCTTCACCAGCAGCATGATAGCATCATTGATGTGAGCTGTGCGATTGGTGCCTTTTGGAAGACGCATGGCCAATGTTCCATCGGGTATAGAGCGCAAGGCCCGGGCATTAATGCCTTGCTCGTCGGTAATCCAGATAAACCCAGGCGCGGTGAGGCCCAGTTCCTTGGCGGCAGAGTAAATGGCGACTTCATCATTCGCACTGTGGTGACAAGAGATCAATGAGATTAAGATTTATTCTGATATCCTATTTTAAATTATTACCTACCACGTTATTAGATCAAAATCGATCGGAAATATCGACGTTGTCCTTAAGTTTCACGGGTCTAATGTAGAAGATCTGATTATGATTAGGCCTACATTGTAGAAATTGTTTCCTACTTCGATGACGTCATTACCAGCTATTGTGCAATCCACACAAAAGGGACGTAGGCCTACGTACCTAGCATGCAGGAGGACCACTGTTGATTGGGCCTTCTTGACCTGTAGCAAAACCCCCGTCATGTTCGTCTGGCCTTTATTGAATTGAACAGCTTTTTCAATCTAAAGAAAATATAATTCCAGGATGAATGTTTCACTACAAAACCAGTGACGTAATGCCGGGGTGGCACTGCGGCTTTAAGCCACTGACCTCTACTATAGTATTAAGTAGAGAGTCAGGCATACTGTGCTGGCGGTCGTCGGCTGACGCGTTTCTATGGAGAACGAAACACGACGAGGCACGCGTATCAGGGCCGTAATGAAAGCGCCGTAATCACAATAAAAGCGCCGTTATCTTCATAAAAAGCGCTGTAATGTCATTCATAAGCGCCGTAATGCCGTTAATTTTCAACCAATCACAGGTTTAGGATGACTCCAGGGTCATAATGAAAGCGCTGTTAAATTGTTACAAAAAAGCGCCGTGATCATAATAAAAGCGCCGTAATCATAATGAAAGCACCGTAATCATAATGAAAGCGCCGTAATCATAGTGAAAGCGCCGTAATCATAGTGAAAGCGCCGTCATGCTATTCACTTTAAACCAATCACAGGCTTAGAATTACGCGAACAGTGTCATAATGATTACGGCGTTAACTTGTTTGATAAAAGCGCCGCTTTGAGTAGCTGGCGCAAGGGCCACACTATTGGCCAATCACATTCCTTCTTTCATGTTTTCAGAATTGAACGAAAATGTGATGGATGGTTTGACTGGGCGCGCCAGTATCGCTTTTGGAGCCATTCAATACATGAACTGTGAGCAATGGATGTGCAAAATTTAAAAATCCTTCAAATACGCCTAAATGCATCCATCAATCGTCTTGTCACTGAAGCAGTTAATGATGAGGATGATGCGGGATTTCAGCCTGCATGATGAGTAACTAAATTCTTAGAATAGTCCTCTATCTAGCCTAGGCCTAGGGTAGGCCTGCCTATGCCTAGCTTGGCCTAGAGTTACGCCAATCATTAAACATTAAAACATTATTAAAACATTAAAAAAAAACCATTAAAGTCACTAAAAAATTATTATTATTATTATTATTATTATTATTATTATTATTATTATTATTATTATTATTATTATTATATCTAAAAACATTAAAACATTATTATTATTATTATTATTATTATTATTATTATTATTATTATTAATTATTATTATTATTTAAAAACATTAAAATCATTAAAACATTATTTTCATCAAGACGATTGAGAGAAAAAATGTGGGTCTTCGTTTTTCTGATCTTCGGTCTTCGTTTTTCAGACACCCATATAGGGTGCCTATAAAACGAAGACCCTTAAGTATTTCTCGATATTCCTCATTTTATTCCGATAAAATAATGAAATAGGTACTTGGCAACTGTTTTATGATGATTTTGAAATACTTTCAATAAGATAATTGAGAAATAATTGGAGGTCTTCATTTTTCGGGTCTTCGGTCTTCGTTTTGTAGACACCCATATAGGGTGTAACGAACAGACGCCCAAAAAAATTCGTAATTTTGATTTTGTGACAGCTTGGTGTATTATAATCAAAACAAAAGAGAAAAAATAGGGGTCTTCGGTCTTCGTTGTACAGACACCCCTTGGCTAGGCCTATAAAAAATGATTAAAAACCGTTAGAAATCAGACCATTAGACCCCTGCACACTCCGACTCGCTCCTTCGCCTTCTGGATGCTCTCGCCTAGGATCCTTCGATCAGCCGACTGCTGTGAAAGACGGAATGTGATTGGCTAAAAGTGTGACCCTTGCGCCAGCTACTCAAAACGGCGTTTTTCTAATTTTGATAACGGCGCTTTTCATTGAACAAGTTAACGCCGTAATCAATTATGACCCTGGTGGCGCCATTCTAAGCCTGTGATTGGTTGTAAAATGAACAACATTACGGAGCTTTTTATATGATTACGGCGCTTTAATGTATTACGCGTTAACGGCGCTTTCATTATGACCCCATTGGCGTCATTCTAAGCCTGTAATTAGTTGAAAAAGAAAGGCATGACGGCGTTTTAATTATGAATACGGCGCTTTAATTATGATTACAACATTTTTTATTATGATTACGGCGCTTTTATTATGATTGCGGCGCTTTCATTATGATCACGGCGATTTTTTTTTTGTAACGACCCTGTTGGCGTCATCCTAAACCTGTGATTGGTTGAATGTGAATGGCATTACGGCGCTTTTTATGAAGATAACGGGGCGCTTTCATTATGATTACGGCACTTTCATTATGGCCCTGATGGCTAACCATACACGCGCAGCAGACGGCGTTGCGTCGTCAAGCGGTTACAACAGGAAGGCGCAGGAAGCAAAGGATCGTCGGGGACTGCGTGCACCCCCTGTTGGGAAATTTCCAGCAAGGTCGTCGGAGAAATATCGAACCTCGAGAGCCGAAAGTGCAATTCAAACATGCCTTACTGAGCTGTCAAATTTTAGGGATTTAAAACTGTTTAGTAGGTACGAGCAGTGCTAGCGCATGTACGAAGTGTTGTACAGGGGCGGCTCCAGAGATGTCCGAAAAGGGGGGTGGGGTGGTGGCGGAAGGTGGGTCGAAAGTTGGGCCGATCGAGGAAACACTACCATAAGGGGTCCAGGGGCATTTCCCCGCGATTTTTGTGCTTTAAGACGCCCGAAAATAACATCTGAGGCGTTTTAGGCGATCAATTATTTCTTTTTCTTTTGTGTGTGAACCCCTTGTTGGGGAGCTTGGACCGCTTGTCGGGGAATTCGTGGCGCCACCCCTAGGTCACAGAGAGAGGAGATGGATTCAGACGATGGTCGTTGACTGTCGTGTCGTACGATCAATGTCTGCTCGACTAGGCCTGGGCCCTGGCGAGCGCTTTGCTATAGCACCACGGCCCTGGTAGGGGTTCAGGAAACGCGACGAACTCTACTGATCGCCAGGACCACTCAGCATTTTCAAAGTCGTAACATTCTATTTCCAAAGACACACTGTTTCAACAAATACAATACAAACTACATACAAAGATTTATTAAACGAATAATAGGCCTATAGAAGTTATTTTCTGGGTTTTCAACCAAAATGATTGTCCATCTCGTCAGGAAAAATATTGTATTTAATGAATGGACGATAGATAGCCATTTAAGCCTCATTATGTTTAAAAAAAACATAAACTCTATTGATTATTTCTTTTATGCTTTCTGTGACAGAAGTTGCATCTGACGCAGCAACAGACTGAGGGTATGTATATGGCGGTTAACCATTTCAAAGAAGGTTTATTATAACTTATACTTTCATGATGATCTGTATCAAATGACTGTTTCTTATTTACAGGACTATGGTATCATTCAAAAACGGGGTTAAAGTTATTAGCCTATGTTTTAAAGGATTATTCATATTATTATGATTATAAATTTAACCAGGTGTGGATCCAGTAGGAAGAACGGGGAGGTGGGGTGCACATACTCCACCCCACCTCGTTTTGACAATAAATTTATAAAATTTCAATGCATATCAGTGTTATGTGTTACTTATCTATTCTGAAAATGTTTCCCCCCCCCCACCGTTAGAAAAATTCTTGATCCGCCCATGTTAACCATACAATATTACTAAACACATCGTACAAGGATGCATCGTTCTTTTAATTAGACTTTAAATTGTTTCTATAGGTTGTTAATATGCCCGTTGTATTATATGTTCTATTTCACAATTAAAATGAGAATATAAATGTAACCAACCTTGATGCCAAGTCTAGAACTGTCATTCACGAGTCTTATAAACGCATTTAGCATTGAGCTTCCACCATCATCCTTTGATGTGACGGTCACTACGTTTGTCCATCGGTAATGACCAATCAAATCAAGCCATACTTCGGCCTGGTCGGTGTACGCTGGAACAGTGCGCATATACGTATTGTGTATATTCTGTGGAAAAATATATAAAGTGTAAATATTATATTTGCGTACTTGTATGAGCTAACAATTACAGCGTAATGGACATTCCGCTCATTGGATATTGTAATACTTTTTAATAATAAATCTAAATTTAACGTAATGTTTATTTTTTAAATGCCAAAAGAACCTTGTCTAAACTGGTACGTCATTTAGGCCCCCCCCCCCCTCCAACATAGCGTTGGTGGCTTCACTAAAACCATCCAATGAGCAATCAGCTATTATAGTAGAGATGGACAGCACAAGTGTTTAACTGATAAGCGCGTATTCCTGGCCCTGGCTTGGTCAAAAGTTTGATTGACACTCCGTAAATGTTCATTGTCACTCACTCGACTCACTCGACGGGAAAAGCTTAATGAGCTCAAATATTATTTACCGTTCAAATCATGTTAACACATAAATAATGATATAAAACATTCAAAACAAGGAGAAATAAAAGTAAAGTAAACTGAAAGAAGAAAAACTAAAAATGCACTTACACCTTGTACATAGACTGAAAACAACAAGAAAGGGAGAAATGGTGGCTACGGTCCCAGATCATTAAACATGCGCACATACAGGTATCTAATCTCGTTGAGTACATTTCAAATTACCAATAGAACGTATAGAAGCATACATATCCAAATAAATTATGAGAGTAACTCGGCAATTTACAATATATTCAGGTTGAAATTCAGTTTAATGTATGTATTCGTGACATCTAATAAATACCCGTACCCGTAAGTGTAATTTTAAAAAAATAGAAACGTAATATGTATGTATCAACTAATTAATTTTGCATATTTCTAATATAAATAAATAAATTTCGTGACGTCATCTATAGTCATTACTTTATTTCCGGATATTCGAATAATTATATTTCGCGAATGGCCGCTGGCACAAAAGACACACAGTTAAGTACATCGCAATCAACGAAATATAGCGCCCGTGGTGTTTAATTTTCAACATGCACTGAATTAATTTGTTTAAATGCAGTATTTGTGACGTCACTCATGAGCGAAGAACTGTAAAAATTGACAATATAATTTACCCTATCGTTGAATAAGTTAGACCGTGTTGCGATATCCACAACAGGTATCTCCAGGGACCCAAGGATGTTTGAAACGCTCATGGCACTCAGTCGGTTAGGCTTAGACAAACACATGATGAGGGCTGCAACCTGGTTCGGTACGACTTTCTGACAAAGTTCCATAGTCGCATTTAACGGGTTGTCAGTCAGAATAGTGGAGACTGACGATAGCGTGATACCACGTGGAAGAACATGGTTCTTGTTCTGGTTGATTTCACGAACGGCGTCTTCAAAAACGATTCGGTCATTCTCGTATTCGAATGCTCCACCAATCACAAATGGTGTCTGCGATGTTACTATGGGTAACACGCAGACGATTATTTGTATCTGTAACCAGCGCATTCCTCTGAGAAAGAAAAAAAAAAGATGAAACTGTAAAGTTGCATATTTTTACAACGCACTGACTACAAGGTGTCAAAATGTGGGATTCCGTAGTTCATTACCTTTGATAAAGTACTAAGCAAATAACGGATGGATCTTTATGCCTAAATGCAATGTATTTATTTTAATATGCAGCGTAATATTGAGGAGACGTGCTTGATGGTTAATATAGGCCTATAACCCAGGGACCTTCTGATGTCTATGCAGACGCCTTAACCAACACTAGGCCATTGGGGCTTTGTTGAGAATTTAAACCCGAGCATAAAGCATCTAAATTTTCACACTCTAAATTTACAACACTAATCCTTTGATTCATGGCAAATAACAGAACAATGTGTGTGTGTGGGTGTGTGTTCATTAAACTCCTAAACTCTTTACATAGACTAGAAAAAAAATCTGAAAAAAATGAGTTAGGGGGAGTGGAATGTTAGAAGCAATCCACATAGCCAGATATCCTAATTAATCCCTTCTGGTCACCCTAAGCCCTGTTGACACTTGATTTTATGCCTTGTATACAAATGGCGGCCATTTTTCAAAATGGCCGCCAAATTTATCTAAAATGTGCATAAAATTGGAACTAAATAAGCTACAGATATGATTTTGGTGTCTAAACTCATAATTTATAGACAGGTAACAAACTAGACATATAAAAACTACTGTCACTCAAGCCAGAATAGAACATAATTAAAAAATAGGTGTTTATTTGCAAAATATACTTAAAATGTACATAAAATAAGAACGAGTATATAAGCTACTAGTACAGTTTTCTATGTAATCCAGATAGATTTTTGTGCAAAAACAGATTTTATTTACTAATTTTATCATTTTTACTGCGCTGAATTCAAAAAAAGTTAGGCGCCATTTTTTCCCAACGTCATCGACCGCCATTTTGAATTTTAAGATGGCTGACGCACCACATAAAACATGGTCATGATTGGTGTCAATGGAAAGGGAATTATACACTAATCATTTATTGTCACTACACCTAAACAACATGATACATATTTACAGCGATATAGACCAATATATAAAGTCAAATGACACAATAGGTCAAAGGTCAAAAAATCAAACTTACCAAAAGTTGTCGTATTTGGTATCATTTGAAAGCTCTGCCAATGATGAGCTATGCTTTCCGGTATATACATATCAGAAACTGTGTAGTTTTTCATATATTGTCCTGTAAATCTGATTATGGCATACTATTAAAAAATAAACAGGACCCAGTTGCCTATGTTCGTGAGCTCTCGGGGTGGAGTAGGGGAGGGGGTGGGTTCTCTTACTACTAACTAGCATTTTACTATTGAGCCTTAATCGTGCATAACGCATGTGCTTTATGGGCCAAGTCCCAGTTCAAATGGGTCCTTCAGGGGCCACGGGGCCCGAGCCCTTCTTACTACTGTACTACCCACCACTCTACTAAAACGCCTTGACAATACGGTAACTTTTTCTATAATTTTCAAAAAAAATCAAATAGAACAAAATCCCACAAACACACTCTTGACTGATTTATTAGAAGGGGTCAGTCCAACTACGACCCCATCATTTTGCTATGGAGGTTTGACCAGATATGTACACCAGTCTGCTTTCTGTGGAAATGCTTAGTTCCTCCGAGTCCAAATGAACCCCGGATAGGCCAAGGGGCCCCACTCTTACTTCATGGTGGCCAAGGCAAATACAGTATGTTGTGTTTTCCTATTTATTGATGATTCTACATGTACTTGTAACTATGAACAATGGTACCGTTGTGTTACGTGCTGTATAATATATTTGATTGGCTGATTGATTTGTTATAACATTAATAGACATGGTCCTCCCAGTGGTGCAAGGACGAGTCGTGGGTCCCAGGCCCAAACAATGTTAGGAGCACCATGCATATCGTTAAAATATTTTTGCTCACGAAGTGACACCGGGGTGGGTAATCCCCCTAGAGATAAGTGTTAAGGATGAAAAGACTTTAATTTTTAGACAATGCCAAAAAATATTGTGTGAATAATATTTTGCACACACATTTTTAATTTGAATATTTGCGTGCAACATATTTATATTAGGTCTATGCATAGGCCTATGCACATGCATTTTCTTAGCTTTGCCAATATAAAAAGTATTATCAAACAATCATTCAATCAATCATTTCAGGGTGGGTCCAGGAGACGCGGGTCTATCCCAACCCCCAAAAAATAAAAGAAAGAGAGAAGAAAGACCAGAAAGAAGGGAGCGTGATGTCACTGTAGGCCTACTCCAAAACAAGCTATTTTTTTTAAATGTCTGTGGTCTCCACCATTTCTAAACACAATTCTCTCTCTATATCTATCCCTTATGGGTGGATGGATATATTCGGTGTAAACACCAAGAATAACCCACAAAAGTCGGAAGAATACTTGTTTCCAGTGAGGTCCTTCTGGTGGTGATTGGGCACTACACCGGCAGTGGCCTAACTATAGGCCCTTGGGCCCTGTGGCATCCTGAGACTGGGGGCCCCTTGTTGATCCGGTCACCACTTTGATTGTGGGAATTTTAATTTGCTCGTTTTTCTAATATTTGGCATTGTATTCTAGATTGGTTTTAACAACGAAATAAATTATATATCAGTTGCAACTCAAGGTATTCAAAATAGAGTGAATTTGGATAGAGAGGGACTTTCACACACCTATGCCACCTCAGGTGGTAAGATCATATATGAATACGGCACCTCGAAGTGGCCGAAAATGGCCATCATAGATTTAAAATGCGAGTATAATTTCCATTTTTAAAACAATTGGAAAATTTAAGTGGTCCCCAAGCCGACAGGGCCCCAATAAACCTTTACGGGATATACTATGATATATGTCTTACAGTCGATCTCAGAGACACATTATGCTGTTCATTCAAAACAATTCAGACAGACAAAAATTTACTTTCACCATAATATGTTGTACAGTAAGCCTACGACTTCTGGATCATTTTTTCTTCAAGTCATCTAATAGGCTTGAAAATATCAATATAAAGACGTTTGAGTAACAAAATTCATTGATTGTTTTTAATAAAGTGTCACTTTGATACCAAAAATTATGTTGCTCTGAAACATGATAAGGACAATCTGTATATTTTTTATAACAAGTATTATAAAAACTGTCTCTTATACACATCTAGATGTGTATAAGAGACAGGCTCACGAGTTACGCAAATGGGTCCTGTTTATTTTAATATGATATGCCATAATTGGAATTTATGGGACAATATATGAAACACTACACCGTTTCTAATATACGTATACAGCAATACATTATTCAGCATCGGAAGAGCTTTCCAACGATACCAAACACGACTACTTTTGGTGAGTGTATACATATTCTTATTTTATGCACATTTTAAGTATATCTTGCGGTTATTTTAAAACAAATAAACACCTATTTTTGAATTATGTTCCATTCTGGCATGAGTGACAGTAGTTTTTATATGTTTGGTTTGTTGCCTGTATAGAAATTAATTAGTTTAGACACCAACATCATATCTGTAGCTTATTTAGTTCCAATTATATGCACATTTTAGATAAATTTGGCGGCCATTTTGAAAAATGCCCACCATTTGCATACAAAGTGAAAAATCAAGTGTCAACAGGCCTTAGGGTGACCAGGACAGGTTAATTAGGATATCTGGCTATGTTGACTGCTTCTAACATTCCACTCCCCCTAACTTGATTTCTAGGCCTCTTTTTTTATTTTTTTTTTTCTAGTCTAACAGGTAACTTTTGAAATTGTTATCTGATCTCTTAAAACACCCTGTAATAAATCGACAAAAAATCGACATTCTACATTTATGTAGGCCTATGTGTTCATTGAATTTGACAATTTCCTTGCACAAACCCATCCGCCACCTATTGATTATACATAAGAACTCCTGTTATGCGGGCGCATTCGGGACTAAAAAACGTGTTCCCTTAAAAAGGATGTTCCCCTAATAGAGGTTTTAAACCGATATTGAGGGGATTGGGAGATTTCAACATTTTAAATGTGAATCACAATCTAACGCTCAACAGCAGGAAGTTGACCAACTGCACGATGTTAAGAAATTGGATTTCATTTCTATAGAAGAGTGAGAGAACCATAAAGTGTATCGTCTGTGTGACGCTACATCATGACATCTTTATCATTATGATAGAAAAAAAAATAATGAATGAAACGTTACCGTTTTGATTCTACTTTGTTGATGAATTGACTGATTAGTTTCGATGAGCCTCACGCTTGAAACATCTGAGTAAAATCTACTATATAAAACAATGACATGATATGTTGTGATATACATAACACTAAGCCAAATAAATAATAAAATTATTGTGTTGGCCACGCCCGACCGACCCAAATTTTACGAAATTCGGGGTTGGCATTTTCAAACATAGTTTAAGTACCAATTGAAGATTAAGGCCTATTGCTTGTGATTCTATATTATATTATATTTTATATATTTTATTTTATATTATAATTTTAGTATATTATGTAGAAGTGGTTTGGCGCAGCGAGAACGGTTTGGTTTCGCAAACTCGAGGTCGGGGTTTCAATCCCTGTGCATTTCGCTTGTGTCCTTCAGCAAGGCACTTTATCCGTACCGGTAATGCATCTCCCCACACGGAAGTACAGGTACGCCATAAAAGTGGGTACCCGGTTTCGAGTGAAAATTTCACTGATATATTTCATGCAGCAAACTATGAAATTTCTCCTATAGGCAACCTTTCAATGGCTGGGGTAATTATGTGGAAAGGCGCTCTGGGACTTAGTTGTGTAGAGCGCTATATAAAAACCTACATATTATCATTATTATTATATTATATTTATTATATTATATTATATTATATTATATTATATTATATTATATTATATTATATTATATTATATTATATTATGTTATATCATATCATATATCATATGCCTATTATATAATATGATATATTAAATCATATATTATATTATAATATATTACATTATATTATCGTATTATATCATTGCAGACATAATATAATATGATATGTAGACATATAACTAGATGAGATGATCACTGCACGCTGGATTTCTATATTAAGTCGGAACATTATTAATTTATATAGGCCTAGGCCTAAGTAAACGTGATTGTATGCTTTAAATAACAGTGTAATTACTAACATGAATATTCCATCCATTGTCCCGGACCACCATCGGCATAATTATTATCATTATGAGTCCATGCTTGCATTGGATTTGTATAATGATCACGTTCTATTATTTCAAGTAATACACTGGCAATACCGTCTACTAAATTATTAACTGATTTTGTAATATCATGACTTATATTCCCGTGTAAACAGTATTGCATTTGTATTATTAGTATAACTGTAGAGGAACTATAGATAATAATAGTTGTGATGCATGTTCCAATCACATACAAGGATATCATGCCACTGTCAAGATTTTTCACACGATTAATGAATACCAAATTCCATTCACTAACTTTGAATATTTGGACTTGGTTTGTAGTGCATCATATTATTAAATGTATTTTAGAATATATCTGTATAGTATTAGCTGACCCACTGGGCTTAAAATGGCTACCCAATAAAAGTATAATAGTAGGTCTATAATGTTTATATATATATATATATATACATACATACATATATCTGTCTCTTATACACATCTAGATGTGTATAAGAGACAGACATTCATTGCAAAATGTCAACTGTGGTTTATTTTTATTCTATCTGGGTGAGTAATCTTGGGGAAAAATTTTTTTTCTACCCACCCCTTTTTATCATTTTAAAATAAGAAGAGTAAACAAACAATTAATTTTTTTAGGCCTTATTGTCATACTGTACCCAATACACTATGTGCACAGTTGGAAATATAGATATAGTGGTACAGTTTACACATTAAAAAAAAATTCAAAACAGTTCTGGGTATCTTGACCAGGAATACCGGACAATCTATGCTGACCAATGAATCATGAACGTCAGACTGCAAAAGTACCCATCATGCCTTAATGCAAGTAATTTATAAATGTTTGATTCGATTATATGATTACAATTTGGAGGTCATGGAGGTAAAGTATTTACACATATATGTTTCCATGCGCGTATATTATGTAATACACTTAAAGATCGCACCTGTGTCCGGTACCCATGTTTTATCACCAGGTCCCCAACAGAGATCTTATAATTATAAGATAGTGATGCCTATCTCTAAAGCAATTACTTGTTATGTTTCTTTTTACTGAACATCGACACTTCTTTAGTCTGTATTCTTTCTGTCTCTTATACACATCTAGATGTGTATAAGAGACAGATATACATATATATATATATGGGTGTGTGTGTGGGTGTGTATGTATGTATGTATATATGTGTGGGGTGGGGGTGTGTGTGGGTGTGTGTGTGTGTAAATCTTGTCGTTTAAAATGCTTAAGATGAGGGTTATCGTAATCTTTATTTCACTGCATCGAGAACTAGCGTTGTTCCACGCGTGTACAAAAGAATGTTAACTTAGTTGCTTCCAACTGGATGTTATTACCAAATCCAAGCCCACTGCCTCACGGTAAAATATTTGTGTAATACAATGCATGTTCGAAGTCATCTTGTATCGTCTCGTGTATTCGTATGGTGAAAGTGGTTGGGCTAAATAGAAGAAAATGGCGTGTTCTTTATTGTTATCATGCATGGTAATTATGTAGTACCGGTACATCTAGGCCTATTATGAGCATTAGTGTCTTAGGTTTATAAAAAATGAATTATTTCATTTGTTAGGTCTACGCAAGACTCGCCACAAAGCCACAATCGTGAAACTATTTTAGTTCAATATTTAAACAAATAAGTATCATCCTCTTACCTTTTAGATTTTGATCACGTTAAGGACAAAGTTAACATCTAACGCACTATTTCCACACTGTACTATAGTATACCCACTCTTTGTCACATATGAAAATAGCAACAGGACAAGCAGATTAAAAAAACATTCTTCGAAATTGTGTTGTCATCATATAATAAATAGCGTTAATGAATTAAGGCAATGTTGTGAAGTACATTCGTATGGTTCGAAACCTTGACGATGATTTCAACAGTACTATACCATCCAATTAATAATCTCCGATTGACAAACGCGTTTTTCTTGTGTTACAGAAATGGTATAAGCATCGTTTTAAGTGCATTCATACGGTTCACCACTTTGCTACTGACGTACTTCATTGCAGTACAATAATGACGATATTAAAACACGGCGTGTCACCATCAAGAAAAAAAAACATTATTCGAAAACGATTTTCCACTCCTTGAGCGTTATATTACAGATAACATAAAAGTATGATGTTTATGTACAGTCTTTCCCTACTGCTGTTTCTTGTAGCATAAGACGGCGATATCAACAGGGCATGCAGACGACAATACGGCATTTGAGCACGTCATGGTATTATTGTTAATGAGTGTCACCTCGTCAGGAGTAGGAATTGAGAAATTAAATTGGAAAAGTAATTAGTTAGCATGTTTTGAGAGCCGTGTAATTGAAGACTGACTATTGTTGTAAACCCATCATGATAATGCCATCGACAGAGCTAATAATGTTCCTCGTTTGTTGACTATTCTATCGTGACAATCAATGGTATGGCGTCGATGGGGTGCTTTTACAAACTGCATTTGAAACAGTTACCTCTCCCTCTCTCCAACCCAGCATTTTTTTTTTTTTTATGGCAGATGTCCTTTCCTTTGAGGATGTGTATTATTCGGAAGTGGCATTAATCTGATATACACAACATGCATACAGTCTGGAAACGTGATGCATCATTCACCCAGAGAATGGGTGGGCACCAAGAAACCTGCTCCCCTGATTTTTTTCTTGGGGATGTGGAGAGATGGATGGTCTTGGATGTATAGCAAGGGGAAAATGTGTGTTGTGGATCGATCCTGAAGGGTGCATTCGTCTCCCTTACTATTTACATTAGGTCTAGAATCTTTATTATGAAACGGCGGTCACGCCCACTTCTATCCTCTTTTTATATATATATTATTTATAATGTGAACGAAAGAAGAGAAAATACTACACACGGTACCTGTAATTAATTGGATGCATTATAGCGTTGAATGGACTATGAACACGTTATGATCAGTAAGAAAGACAATGGAGAAAATATTTTTTTTTAATTTAAAGTTTTTTTTAAATCAAATTAAAACAATTTTTTATTAATTATTTAATTAATAATGTAGGCCTATTATTTTCTGTACTGGTTTTTATATTAATAAATTAATAAAAATATATATTTTATTATCATTACTTTGAAAATGTGAGAAAGAAAAACACGTATAACTAGTGTTAAAATTTGAAAAAGAGTGTTAAAAATGGGGTTTTTTAGGTTCATTTTAAAAGATATTCTTTACTGTCGAGTCTAGAAACACAGCTGTTAATGAAAATATTCCTACCTTGATTCTCACTGTTATTCCTTTTTAATCGAAATAATTTTAATTTATATTATATTATATATATATATATATATATAATTATATTATTATATTAATGTTGACTACATTAGAGCCTAGATTATGCTTCACTTTTTACTTACAGTATTTCTACGAAACAAAACTGTTATTGGATTATTTTAAGCTTGTAATATTTAGATTTTGGAAGCTGATGTCTATTTTAATTTACTTTACTTGCATGCCAGTTCACCAGTCTGTACTCGTCAAAGGCCTACGTAGAAATTAGGTCTATGCCTAGGCCTAGCTAGGATTGGATGGCACAGTTATACAAAAATAAAAAAAATATATATATATATAAATAAAGTATTAAAAGAAGGCTCAAAGAATTCTAAAAACCAACATAAAACTTAAATTTATGAAATATTGGTTGATAAATACACGGGAAATGCATTATGAATGAACTTAAATACATTTAACCGTTTATATTTTAACTCAACGACCCGAACTAAATAATATTATTATTGTTTCACTTTTCACTGTTTTTTCAGTAGTTAACACTGGCATGATAATAACCCTTTATTAAATTTATGGTGTAGGTTCACATGCTGCATAGGCATACGCCTTGTATTAATATTTTTATTGTAAACAGTGCCTTGTGTGCTTTAGTTTTTTTTGAAATGTCTAGCCTAGGAGACCGTAGCATGAACAGTCATCATCCAACAAAACAACATGTATCCATATCATGATCAACGTTTTTTTCAGTTCTTATCAGTTCCGAATCAACGTTGTTTTTTTTTTTGCGCTTTTTTCAGTTCCACAAAAAAATAGAACATGGGCAACTGAAAAAAACTCAAGTCAACTTGATTCATGTCGACAACAATTTTGCGAAAATGTCAGTTCCTTTCAGTAATACGTTCAGTTGCGTCCAGTTCCGTTCCTTTCAGTTGCGCGGAGCGCTCATGTCGACCAGTTGAGTTGAGTTGAGTTCCGTCCATAGAGCTATTAAACAACTAGAGTGCTGACAAGATGGCGGAGCAATGCAGAGTTGTGTATGTGTACCATCCAAGATGGCTGCCGTAGGGAAGCGCCACCTTCAGGCTTAGTATGCATATTATTACCATAAATAAGCCCTCTGACTGAATATTATTTCATTAATGATAATTAGTATTGATAATGAAAAATTATTAAACTGTCGTAGCCAAAACGAGGCCAAATGGAACATCTTATTCAAAAATAAAATACCAAGGAATGAAAATTAAAATCATGTACTTTACACCCAAACACCGCAACGCTCGAGTTTCAAACATAGCTGTACTGAACTTTCTGCGTAAATTGAGGGCGCCATTGAAAATGATAGTGCTCAGGCGAAATTTGATTGGCTGAATATATGGCAGCCATCTTGGATGGTACACACACACAGCTCTGCGTATTTCGAACATCGAATACATTGCTGTTAGCGCTCTAGTATTCTTATTATATCTCTATGGTTCCGTCAAAGATAATAAATAGCTATTTAAGTTCTTTGGTTCCGTGTCAACCTGAACGTGCTTTATGTTGTTTTTGTTACCATGGATTCCAGTTTCTTAAGATGTGCGTAGGAAGTTACGCGTTGAAAAAAATAGTAACGTTGGTTATGACCATGGAGCTTATTATATCTCTATGGTTATGACCCATAGATAGAGCTATTAAACAGCTAGAGTGGTAACAAGATGGCGAATAATAGCAGAAGATAGAGCAGCTTCCCAATATAGTGGAACATCCGTTCAAAAGGCATTGTGGGTACACGGAGAGCAATTTACTGCAACCGCGCGGCGGCGCTATATAAAAATAATAAAGGCGCTGCTCTTGTTCGCTTGTTTCCTTTAGTTTCTCCACTTAGTAAAATGTTCAAATTTTACTGCAACCGCAGGAGGGCGAATGTTCCATCGGTTTTAATGCAAATACGCGGAGCAGCTCATTCTTCTGCTATTTAAGTTCTTTGGTACCATCCATAGAGATATAATAAGAATACTAAAGCGCTAACCGCAATGTATTCGATGTTCGAAATACGCAGAGCTGTGTGTGTGTACCATCCATAGAGATATAATAAGAATAACAACTCTATGGTACCATCCAAGATGGCTGCCATAGATTTAGCCAATCAAATTTCGCCTAAGCAGTACTATACTATATAACGCTGTCTCACAACATACAAGTTAATGTTAAAAATTTGTGTTAAAAATATTAGATTGTGAGTCTGTGCCACAAGACTATAGACGGTGTTACATTTTCACTTTGCAAGCCTGTGCATATTTTATTTTACAGGAAGTGACACACAGTAAGCAGGGGCGGATCCAGAAGTTCTGGTTAGGGGGGGGGAATAGGTATATGTGTAAAGTGCTATTAGATGTATGTATGTATGTATATATATATATATATATATATATATATATATATATATATATATATATATATTTATATAAAGAA